AACTTATTGATTGATTCTATCAAAAAAACTCTTTAAATACAGTTGAACTTGTATGTCTCAAACACTGATATCTTGAATACCATGGATATGTGAAACTGATTTGGAATTCCAACTGCTTTAAAGTATTTTACACTAGATATCTTGAATCCTTTGTTATTTTATAATAAATTTTTATTCCCATTGAGTTTCATGATATTGAGGTTCTACTGACAAAAGATTCAAGTAAGTTAAACCTGTTCAGTTTAAGGGTTTTATCAAAGGCATCAAGTGAACAAAAGATGACACAAAAGGTAAATACACTTACAGTTTTGGCAATCTTTTGGGCAGCTTGAATCTTTCTAAGTTTTAAAAAGCCAGGATTTTGTTGAATGGCCTCTCCTATGTTCATATTGTCAAGGATCATAAAATGTCATTGATATCTATGCATTAACTTGTCAATGTATCCCCAAAGAGGCTGTTCTACAATTCTGAATATATTTACAATATGATATTTTATTTTTAGAGTATTTTTTTTTGCAGTCAATCTGTGATTTTTTATAAATATGAATTTGTCCACACCTTGCATACTACTAATGTAATATGTTGAAGTTAATCATAACTTTTTCCTTATGAATTTATAGCTCAGATCATAACATATCTCACTGTTTTTTCTTGGCTCTATTAAGTTCCCCATAATGATGTTTAATTGTATGTTTTTTCTACAATAAATCAACTAATTTTAAAAAGAAAAGCATAATAAAAATACTCTGAAACTTATAAAAAATTCCTTATCATTGTTAAAGATGTTAATAGGTTTAATATTTCTAGTCATTACTTTTTAACCTAAGCCTAAATATTATGTTAAGACTTCTAACTTTATATTTTTCTGGTAAGATTAAGATGTACATGTAACAATTCTACAAAAGGATATAAGTTTGGCAGCCTGGGCTTCACCATCAGCCTGCACTATTTTCTGCTGTTTCTCTTGTTTTGCCCTCTCAACATAGAACTGGGCCCTCTGGGCTTCTTGCTGGGCAACCTATTAATGCACACAAAATAGTAAGTTTCTAAAATTATGTAAAAACCAAAATTAAGTGAACCAGTCTTGCCATTTCAATTTTTTTTTATGCGTAAAAAGGCTGGGGCAAAATCCATGAAAATTAAGCTGAGGTCTAATAAAATTCAATGAGAAACTATTCACAAGACAAAATAATAATCAAAGCTATGGACCAAAGTACATGCGAAAGAATCTAAAAAAGATATTATTTAGTTACCTGTTTAGCCTCAACAGCTGCTGTATACTCTTTACCAAAGCTGAGCTCTGTTATGGACACGTCGTCCAGGATAATGTGGAAGTCCTGGGCCCTCTCGGTCAGTTCTCTCCTGATCAGCATACTGACCTGCTGACGCTGAGTGATTAACTGTGACGCATTGAACTTAGCCACCACGGACTTTAACACCTGTTTACAACAAACAATGGGTGTGTTTAATGTAATTATTATTTATAAAACTGCACTGCAATGTAGAAAGTCAGTATTTTAAATGAAAATAGGACATATCCTGAACACAATGGTTAATTGTAATTCATATTCATTGGAAAGAAAAAGCTGTCATGGTATAGTATACAAAACAATTTTTTTTCTTTTTGTTAACTTTTTGAAAAGTAAAAAGTCGACAAAAACTATCACTACATGTTAAAGAATTATAATTTCAAATAATTCAATTTTAGTTGTAACACGTCATTTGATTAGATAAAAGATTTGAATCCATTTTGTATAACATAACTTGCCTACGTCACAACTTCAAAAACATATTACTCCGCTTTCACGTTACTTTTAAAATATGCTAAATTTGAAGCCTATTTCTGGAGGAAAAATTGCCTCATTGTCTATACTGAAATTAAATTATAAAGAATGAAGTTTACTTCAACTTATGTTATACGATATACCATAACTTTGGACAGTTTACACTGTTTTATAAACTGCTTGGCGATTTATAAAGCGTAAACTGCCCAAAGTTATGTTATATTATAGAACAAAAGCTGAAATAAGCTTCATTCCTTAAATACTCAAAACTTTTTTTTACTGCAAATGTAGTTTGCTAAATGCCAAGTGTGTTTGAAGTGTTGTCTATCAAAAGAAAGTTTTGAACACCTTTTTTTCCTACCAGAAAAGGTTTCACTCCAGCATACCTCATTACAAATTGAGGGCAGCACTCTCTCATCATAGTCTGTGCCTATCTGTCTGTAAATCTGTGGAAGAAATGTCTGATCTGGTCGTGACAGGACTCTCAATGAGATGTTCACCATCTGTAAATCTGTGTGTAAAATGCACAAAATATTGTGAGAAAGTATTTGCATATGTAATCTTAGAGCAAATTCTGAAGAAATGTCAAATGTCTTCCAACAGTTAAATCCTATGGTTTTAAAAATTTCATTACTTCTAGTGTTTTGGGTTTTTTTTTTCACTTTATTTCATGGAACTTGAACAAATCATAGAGATGTTCTCTAATTTTTTTTTCTTCAAAATACCTTTGCTTCCAGTTGGTGATGTAATTCTTCTTGGTTTTGCTCTAATGTCATATATTATGGGATACTGAAACCATGGTACCCTGAAATAAACACATCCAATGCATTGCACAATCATTTAATTTATAAAGACATTGTATGTAGTTTTTAGAAACAAGATAGAAAAGAGTGCAATTTAAGTCAAAAGCTAAGTTGAGTATATGGGATCTATGAATAAGAAACAATCAAATGAAAGTTGCCCTGGAAGCACAATAAGGTACAAGTAGAATTTTTAGCGAGGATTTAGCATTATAAGTCAAAGTGAGGGGCTGAGATTGCATTAAATATTACTAAAAATTAATTGCTTTTTAATTGTAATAGTTTCTTTAGTGAGCATTTTAAATTGCTTAAATTACTGTAACTGATTGCTAAAAATAAAATACCAATTTTTAAGGAGAAATCGCGAAATTTGTGTCTCACTAAAATTTCCACTTATACGGTAGTACTGTGAGATACAGAGTCATGGGTGAAAGTTAACAAGTGGTGCTGGAGAAGATAAAAATGTGAAAAGTTTATGAAGAAAACTATGGTTTGCACACATCTAGAAGGGGGTCTGGGTTCCCCTGAAATTTGCATACTTATGTAACGGGACAGGAGGAAATGTAGTGGACCAGACCAGGATTCCAACCCAGGCCCCCTGAATCTTCGGTCAGGTGCTCTACCCACTATAAAGCTTTCTGGCCACCAACAATCAAACCCAGCTGATCACCATATTCCTCCCTCCTTAAAGGTCTTTGGTCCCTGAAAGACCCCAACCCAGGCTCATCCCTGACAGGCCTCTCACCTGTCAGTTCCAGGACAAGGAGGAAATGCAGTGGACCAGAGCAGGATTTGAACCATGCCTCCTGAATCTCTGGTCAGGTGCTCTACCGAGTAAGCTTTCTGGCCACCGGTGATGGAACCCAGCACACTTATTAATTGAATGTATATACAGTGGAGCCTCATTTATCTGGACGCTTTGGTTCCTAGTCAATTTGTCCGGATGTGTGAAGTGTCCGGATACCTGAATCACCAGTTAAACAAGACAATATAATATTTAAAAATTCCGTCCCGATGAAAAATCGTCCGGATACTGAAGCATCTTGATATCTGGGGTCCAGATATCTGAAGGTCCACTGTACTAAAATGCGCTAGAAATGACCTTGCACCACCTCAAATATGCAGAATTGTGTTAGGTTTGTTTGAAAAGTCAATGACTAACTCATCCCTACCCCGAAATAAGATTTTCATGTTTTGAAAATGTAATTTTTTGCTAGTGGAGAAATTTCAGGGTTGTTTTAATTTTACTGTGGTGGACCCCCTCTGGAAAAAATTCCTGGATCCGGGCCTGTACTTTTTAGTACATGTGAACACCTGACCTTTATAGCGAGAGCAGCGAGCATTGCAAAGCGACGCTCGTACCTACAAGCTCTAACGACAACGCCAAGGCGAAGAGAAAATTCGGACTACTGCACAATCATTCCATAGAATTTATTTCCGCAGTAATTTGAACCCACAATGCATAGCTTCGTACACAAATGCTAAAGCAACGTTCTTGCGAGAATAACGACAAAAGTTAAACAAATAGAAAACTTGCCTTGATTTAAATTTATCTCTTTATTGCAGAAAATAAGTCATAAACTGGTTGAAATTAGCCCTGTTCAGGCTTCGGTTTGGTAAAGCAACATGCAAACTACGTCATGTGACATCAGCAGGTCCGGCACAATCTCTTGATTAAGCTATATAGCTTGATTTAGCTAAATAGCTTTATTAAGCTATTCAGAATAGCTCGATTAAGCTATTTTATTAGACTTTTTTCTCAATAGTGTTATTTTTTCAACAATTAAGTGCAAAAAGTCGCACCTTGGTGCAGTGGAAATATTAAACTTGGAACTCTTCCGAATACAATGCATGTGAAAATCACTCACCAAATTGCGTCTCCTTGAGAGACTTTGTACTCAAAGTTTTAAAAGTTTTGGGGCTATTGATGAGTGACCACACAGTTATTTCTTGAATGAAATTATAAAAGAGGTCATTTATGGCCAACAGAATAATTGATTGGTAAGAGCTCAGCACAAAGAAGCAATCATACTTACCCACGCCTCATCGCACACACAGTTAATCAAAAAATGGAAATTCATGTTTTGCTTAAAAGTACTCAACAGCAGCAATGTTAGAACTTTCTATAATTTAGGTTGTATTTTTGATAGTCCATAGTACATATATGAATAGTCATATACTTGCGACTTTTTGTTTATTTCTTGCAAAAAACGTTTTTGTGAAAAACTACATATAAATAGCTTTATCAAGCTATTTTGAATAGCTTAATAAAGCTATATAGCTTTTCAAAGCTATATAGCTTAATGAAGAGATTGTGCTGGACCTGATCAGAGTCTTATATGCACCGAATGTCATGTGCGGTTTGACAAGTCTGATCTAAATGAAAACTGGATAAGCATCTGCGCTTGCCCTAACGGTCGCACCGTCAACATATTATACATGAAATCGACAGAACTTATACCTGAAATGAAGTCCTTCAGAGAAGACTTGTTTTTGGACCCCACCAATGCGACTGAATATGATTGATCGATGACCTCCATCAACTAAAAAAGGAAAACATTTTAGAATTACTTCATGAATGAAAGAAATGATGAACAATAAAATAAATTGTTGGAATCATCTGCATAATGACAGGTCAAATAAAAGTTGCATAAGATTTCAGACACTGAAAGAGAACATATATTCATTTGCCTCACCAGTGTAAAATGACTGTTGAATTCCTAATGCAGCTCCTACGACTGCCGCCAAACCAACTCCAAACCTGCCACCCTTTTTCCCACCTTTGGTTAGCAAATCTTTCAACTTGTTTGGATCCATGCTTTTCTACCAGTTTCACATGTGCAGGGCAACTACGTCCTTGAAAAGCTTTACATCATGCAAACTAGAATAAAAACACATTTACGCTTTTAATGGATTCAAAGTTTCTGACTAATTGTTCCACGATGAATTATTAAAATAAAATTCTGAAAAGTTGTTATTTACCATATAATAAACATTTATTCAAATATAAACTGTAAGTGGATATAAAAAAAATTCAAAGATTTTTATTTCAACTTTTATTTTCGTTTTTATCCGAATAAGAAAATGTGTCTTAAGATACACCGGAAGTATTCAATTGTAAGTCAATTCGCTCTCTGGATTTTTCAGTCCACCTCGTGTTAGAAAAGCAAGGGAACTTCTGTCAATCTTTCTGTCTGTCTGGTTCAAAATCTGTTTCAAAAAACTTAAACCTTGACCATAACCTGCAAATTAGAAGAGATAGAGCTTTCATTTAATTATATTTTGCGGTACAAAACGTTTATTCGCGAAATTTTCGCGTTGTATAACGCGTAAATATTTTTTGACCTACCAAAATTGACCCGATAGGCTTTCGTGCTTCAATAATTCAATCTGATTAAAATCAGATCCTGTGATCCGCTCACATAGATCGCTACACAAGGTTGAGTAGCGATCTATGTGAGCGGATCAAAGGATCTGATTTTAATCAGATTGTTCAATAATTGAACTTTAAATTTTAAAAAAAATTAGGATTTTTAAAAATAATTATAGCGAATTCCCATGTATTTAGTTTTTCTAGCTTATAATTGCTTATTACTATATTTAAAAGAAAAAACTTCTACAGTTTGACTTTTATTTTCGAGGACATCAATTTTTATTTATTCGCGGACATCAATATATTTTGTATACGATTTCGGCACAAGTACAGAAGTACACAGCAAAGAGCAAAAAAAATTAAATAACCATTAATTAATTAATTAAATAGATACAATACTTATATACTGACCTTTACTTAGGTAGGATGCCACCCGCTTTCACTGAAAGTTGAAAAATTATTAAGGTCGTTCTGTCTGTCAGTCGGTCGGTCTGTCTGGTTCCACAAGAAGCCTTCAGTGAAGCTTTTACACAGAAATTTAATTATACCACAACTCCCTATGCCTAAGGAAGATCTCAATGGATTTTAAGGGCAAAAAGTCAAAGGTCAAGGTCTAAATTTAAATACATTCCATTAGCTGCAATAATGCACGGTAGCCCTCTCCCTTTTCCCCCCGGCCATGGCATTAATATAAGAAATCGGATAGGGCTACATTAATGCAACTATATGTTGCTGCTCACATTCTATTTGTGTGTAAAACTTTCATTTTGGAGCGAATTTCTAGAGACATTTGAGCTTTTGCAATGAAATTTCAATTTTATTCCATAATTCCATGGATATGACCGGCCCATCCCCCCTCCCCTTAGATCCTTGAATGTTCTGAGGGTGGTGTCCTTAAGTGGGGGGGGCACATATTCTCTGAATCAGTTTGTGTTATTTTTATTTTCGAATGCATTTTATTTTTCATTGCTGAAAACAAGAACACGTAAACTGGAAAAAATATGGATACCCCCCCCCCTTTTCAACGGTTACAAACATACACATTTAAATAATTAAGTCTCTTGGATGAACTGTGTGTAAAAGAGAGAATAACCATTAAAAAAATGTTATTTCAAAATAATTGTGCACATTTATCAACTAGTGAATTTGTTTTAAAAAAAAACCAACCCGGGTTGAATTCATCTAGATACGGATATACTTAGAACCTAAAATCTGTCATGGCGTTGAAGGTCTTTTCAGGCCTTTCTAAGTTGGCTCATTTTGTTGGAAAGCAAGCTTGTAGAGAAGCGACAGTCTATACAAATATCTTGAATAGAGGAGTTCAACAGAGTAAAGCAATATACCCTTTCAATGTGTACGTTTTTAGATATGCAGTGTATTTTAAAGGATTTTTTTCTATTTATTTCTGCATATAGAATTTATTTTATTGGGTTTCTAATAAGAAATATGTATTATGATGGCAAATTTACTAAGGTTAAGTGTCATGAGTATATGAACATAATATTAAATGATGCTAATTAATTACCAATTCTGAATTGAATTCCTGACATTGATAGTGTCACTGACTCATTCAGCAGGTTGGGTCAATTTACTATATAAAATGGGGTGTATTCATTGTATAACTATATTTTATGCTCATTAGCAATATTTTTTAAACAAAATAGAATTATCATATTTCATGATATATTTATATGCATGTCATTTGGATTAAGGGCGAAACGATTACACGTGTAAACGGCGACGTTTCGATTATATGCTCTAAACGTTTACAGTTTGAGTAAACGTTTACACGAAGGTCATTATCAATGTCTATCAGAAATAAAGTTTAACACAAACAAATTGTTTTATTTCGTAATTTACAAAAGAAACAACGTCTTTGACCATTTGATAAGCAACAATCTAAACCGGAAACATATTGAATGAAAATATCTAAAACCGATATGGGCTAACATAATTAATTCCGATTTCCGAGTTGCTAATACTAGCGATGTTTTACGACACTTGAAATATAAAACTTGATATATTTTGATTAAATGAATAAAATACCTTTTTCACAAGTCTTTGAAAAGTTTCAATACAGTCAGCAGGTCCTGTTTTACTTTTTTCGAGATTGAAAGATCCATCTTTACAATTATTTTTTCTACGTCCGGTAGCCAAACAAACCAAGTAGTTGGGTGACGAGGTCGAAAGTGAATGAGTTTAATGCACCTCAAATTCTTACGGTTAAATCACGATGACAAACAATAAATTTGTAATAACAACTCATACTTATATTAAAGTGAAAGAATTGATTATTAAATTCGAGTTTCATGAGTAAGTATAGCCATAAAAATCCAACATAGAATATCTCCCGTTTAAACGGTACCGTTTCGTTTACTGCTATCCGTTTAAACGTTTACAAAATTCAGTAAACGTTTCACCCTTAATTTGGATACCATATCACAAATGCACTAATATGTTGACGGTGCGACCGTTAGAGCGAGCGCAAACTCTTCTATTGTTTTAATTTAGATCGGGCTCGTCAAACCGCACGTGACACTTGGTGCGTCTAATTGACGTCACATGACGTCGTATGTAAGTTACAATACCAAGAAAAAACTTAATAGTGCTGAAAGTTAATGAAAACAGTTACGTTTACTATTTATCTTCAATAAGTATCCATTTAATCAAGGCGAGTAAACTTTTTGTTGAACACGCAACTTTGCTAAGTGATGCATTGTGGGTCAAAATTACTGCGGCAAAAAATTCTAAAGAATGAATGTGCAGTAGTCCGAATTTTCTCTTCGCCCAGGCGTTGTCGTTAGAGCTCGCAGTTACGAGCGTCGCTTTGCGACGCTCGCTGCACTCGCTATTAAAACTCGTGACTTGGGCAATTCTTAATTCTTCCTCTTCTTCCATTAATGTGCCTGGCACCAATGTTGGGCATTATGATTGCTTATAATAATTGGTCCTGATCTGTTTAGTTCATGACATAGCACTTATGATTAATTGACAAATAAAATCAAGAAGATATAACTATAGCCCTGATTTATTTTTTTCAAGGGGTTTTCATACAACAAGAAAAAACAATGATTTGATGGAATTTTTTGACCCGGAGGCAAACTGGGCTGATGGACCTGTCAAATGTGGTAAGTATATATAGCCCAGAGAGACACCTCCCTACATTATTAAAAATCTGATGCATATGTTTTGCATGGATTACTAAGACAGGATTTTTTTTAAATTGCTATTTTTTAAATATCTATACATAAGTAATCATTAGTATAACAAACAGAAAATATATAATAGGAGTACAGACAGTGTTATGATAAAATTTCTATACTTCAAATGTTGAATTTATTGCGGAGAGAATTTGTTGATAGTGCAAAACAGAAATAAAAAATTTAATTACACTTGGATATACCAGTATATGTAATTTTATTTTCCTAAATATATTTGTTTTGGAGTAAAACATTGTGAATTTGCAACGATAACATTTTTGTTTACGAAATTTATGTTTTTATTAGGTAGGCCTTGGAGGAAAGATGAATTAAGAATAAAGAGTAATGAAGATCTTCATAAATTATGGTATGTATCTGTATAAGATACCTTGAAAGGTACAAGTGAGTCTAATGTTTTAGTTTACATGTACCATATGGCTGCATGTTGTCAAGTCTCTGAACCTTGGTTGTGGCCACAAATTAATTTTCAAACAAGTTAGCATGGATTTTAAATTGACACAATTCTTCATGTTTGTATTTGTCTATATAGGTGCAAGACATTTAGTGTGAATTAACTGAAGTTTCTTTATTCCAAAGATGCTAAAAAAAAAATACATAGCCAAATGTAATACATTTAAGATAGTTAACAATCAGTGTGATCAAACTAACAGTCAGAACTTTAATGTTATTGTGAGACAGTTAGGTTTTGTAATGAGAACCATAATTTATTTTTTGCCATTCTAGGTACATTCTTCTGAAGGAGAGGAATGTAATAATGACACTGGAAGCAGAGCTGGAGAGACAGGGCAAATTTTTAACAGATGGATGGAGAATGGAAAAAGTAAGTCAGATCAAATCTCTGCCTTTCTTAGCCTAGCTGGTCTGAAAGTTCAAAGTAATCTTTTACAACTTACCAGTCTCTTTCCTACTATTAGTTGATAATTAGCTTTGCACATTTTATTTTTAAAAAATGTCAATAAAGAAATGGGGGTTATTTCTAATTCAGTGCTACAAACCTTCTTAAGTGAAAAGAAAACTTTCTCAAATAAAGGGTCAAGTTTAATATTAAGGGCCTGGGGGATACATGTAAGGATCAAAATGGAATAGGTCATTCAAACAATATTCTGCCAAAAATCATGTCATTGGTCACAAACTAGAGGAAAAATATCCCAATGAAAGATAGGCCCAAGCTGGATATTAAAAAGGAAATTTAAAGTTTGGACTGCAATAGTGGTACAAAGTTTTCATAAAGCATTAATAAGAACCTGAAAAATCTTAAAAATTCAAACTCTGCACCACTATGAATGCATCCCAGAGTTGTGTCAAAAATCCCCCCCCCCCCAATCAGAGAGAAAGAAGTACTGTAAATTGGCAAATAATCAAAATTTCATGTTCGCATTGAAATTAAACACAAACTTCCATAAGTTTTCAAAAACGTTTCAATGTTTAAACCATGTTGATTGCGCCGTATTATATATTCGTTTACAGACAAAGAGAGATAACTCAGATTTGTGCTATGCAATAAATGCCACATCGGAAGAAAACGTACTATGTGTTTACATTCTTTTTATTTTCATTTTGAAACATGTATTAAAGTAGTACATTAATCAGTTTGAAATTCAATTTCAAATAAATTGCATCATGATTTAATTTGTACGTAAACACTGTTATGGCAATTAGTTTAGTCTAATTATATCCCTGCTTTTTCGAATGCCTGTACAATCAATTCTGTGTCCTTTCCAAGCTGATCAGTTGCTTTTACAAGCCATTTCGCATGAATAGGTTTTATTTTGGACAAGCGCAAGTCAACTTCGATATCCTAAAAAGAAGATTTTATTTCAAGTTTTGACTGAAATTCGGATTTCAAGAGGGATTTAAATCGGCCGTTAATTTGTGTCCATTGTAGACGGTCTGTACATGCAGCTGGAACAAACACAACTTTATGCCCTTTTCCTCCAAAAATTTAGAAGGGATTTATCTTGAAAAACATCAAAAATACACAAAGCTTTTTGCCTCAAAGGCAAATCCAGTTCGTCACGTACCCGCTGTATGTAGGGAACAATGATCTTCTCAACATATCTCTGCATTGTTTCCACATTACTCCAATGGTTTTCACTATGAAATATGTCCCAGTCTTTAGGGAAATTGTAATTGGGGTGACACTTGTCAGTAACCTTTATAATAATTGCGTGGGTAAAAAGACTTTGAAACCGACAATACAGCGGTGATTTGTCACTTGTCGTCAACTCCTTTAATGGGGACTTGTTTGGCACCTATAGAGATAATTGATTACCTAATTATTATTGAAATCATTAAAACGATTCATACTGTCCTTTTTTTTTTTTAATTTAGGTCGTTATTTATAGTAATGAAATTACAGGGAATATATTCAATTAGAAATTAAAACAAAATCTTACCAGTATCGTGCGTGTTTTAAGAAGACAGCCCTATGTAAAATATTTTCTTTGATTTTTAGGTAGAAGTTAGCATGGAAAATCTGCTGTATGTCGTGAAGGAGAGAGACATTGCTTTGAACAAATTAGAAACAGGAGAAAGTGGTGAACCAAAAATTTATCAAATCAGAAATTCATTAGGGCTTAAGTACAACCGCACTGAGTCAGAACATTTAGTCCCACAATTCATGAACAGGAAGTTTAGACTAATGCACTCCAAATATGAACCATGGATGTCCAAATGGATTCACAAGTATGAGGAAATGAAACGTTTTAGGCAAGGAAAACGTGAGAAGTATTACAAATTCCAAGCTAAAATGCTGCAGAAAAAATACGGACTCTCAGAGAAAGAAGCAGTGAAGTCTGTTAATTATCACAGACAGAAGAGCAAGAGAATGAGGGATTTCTCTGTTGTTTGATATTTTGAATAAACTTGATGCTTTAAACTTGTTTCTGTCCATTATTTTTATTTAAAGGTATGGCTAGAAAGATCCATTTGGGTTTTAGTTTAGCTGGGGAAACAATGTAAATTACTCACAGTAATACGTAGCTAATAAGATTTGTGTACAATACAGTATTTTGAATTTCCTTTATTCAGGAGCTTTGTAAACATGCCCCCCCCTCCCCCCCCCCCCCCCCCAAAAAAAATACCCAATCAGAAATGTTGAAAAAAAAAGTTTGTCTTCAATTGGACAAGAAATAAATGAAAGTAAATAATCTGACTCAGAACCCCCCCCCCCCCCCCGCCCGATTGAAATAGTTGTCCCTTCAATGCAAATTATGCTTTGAGAGTGGAGGATGTTTAGGAAGTTTGTTTAATTCTTAATGAAGTTTTGTCTTTAAACTTTTTGTGAACATGTTTATCTGGGTTATTAGCTATTCCTCTGACCTTACAACTTACTAAGAATGTTCAGTTGTTTATTCAGCATTTTTCTAAGTTCTATCGCTATTATCATGTCCTAATTTTACAAACTGATAAAGCCCACGTGGCACAGTGGTTAGAGCGTCTGTTCTTCAGTCGCGAAGTAAGGTCGCGGGTTCGATTCCCTCTGGGACGTGGAGACCGTTCCTTTGGATGAGACCTTATAAACCTAGGCCCCGTGTCGCGATAGGTGCTCACAGTTGGCATGAAAAAGAACCCTCACTGCTCAATGGTCCCGAGTGTCGAGCATATACGTAGGACAAGTGGTGACGTCTCTATATGAGTGAAAAATTCTCGAGAGGGACGTTAAACAACATACAATCGATAAAAATGCAACGGACAGTCTAGGGAATATAAACTGATAAAGAAAGATATTCCTTCAATTTTAATTCACAATATATGCGCATAATATAGTGCAATTTGCTTCCTTAATAGTTCGTAAAAACAAATCTTGAGGAAGATGCCCGCATTTTCTTGCAAAAACATTTGACTTTTTCTTGCCTGAAACGGAATAACATGCCAAAGGAGCAAGATGACTGAAAATGTAGCCAATAAATAACAAGTTCAGCTTCTTCTCTACCCAGTCCTTACATCGTATTTCTTACGAACTTCAGTCTCAGCTGTTCATGTTAATGAATAAAAAGAACTTATAGAATTTAGATTAATTTATTCAGGACAAATGTTAACATATTTTTCCAGCCTCTCCATTTCTCTGTGAGCAGCTTCAATTTCTTTCTGGATACGGGCTTCCTCTCTGTTCTGTTGGGCCCGATCCTGCTTTATAGCCTGTGTCTTCTCTTGAGATTCTGACAAGAGGAAACAGCAAATGAAGCAAAAATTGAAAAATATACAATCCATTTAATTTAATAACCCATCAGTTATTCAACGTCTGACCCCCATCCTCAACCCCAAATTTAATGGATGGGTTTCTTAAATGATTATATTATATACATATATGTATCTATATCAGAGTTTTAATCAGCTCGAAAACTAAACTTATTCTATTGTAAGCTTCACACGTAAATTAGTTTATCGGTTACGTTGTCAACATCCAATTAACGTATCGCCAAACTCCGCCCATCGCGCTATGGGAGATAACTCCTATGATTCCTCATCAACATAACGTGTAACTCAATAAGTCGACGCCGGTTGACTTGTCCGAAGTTCCTGATGATTTTGCTGCAAAATATTTGCCATACGAACCCACTTTGAGACAAAACGAAGTGCAAATGCTTTTATAAAAGCATTCATAATTTTCAAATATTAAAAAATGATTCCGATCCCTTTCTCGGAAAGTTTATCGAAGCATGATAAAGTCCGATCGAGTTCCCTCATACTGTAAACATCCATGTCGACGAAGACAGAATCACATTGCGACTTCAAATCTGGGTAAATGGTAAATTACAACGACCTTTAATTCAATTTGTAATGTAATAATTTCATTAAAACATTTACAAAACTTTTTCAAGCGTGTTTTTAAATAATGGGAATAACATGCTGGCATAAAGGAGCAAGGAAATAATCTTTCCTAAAAATGTAGCCCCCATCATCCAAATAATCTTGGGTTGTCGACAAGTTCCCCCCCCCTTTTATTCATTTATTTGGCTTCTTAGACTTTTTCAGTGAAGCGGAGAATAAATAGTCTGTCATTGGGAATAAATAATCCGTCCTTCACCGACATGACAATAAATAATCTGACTCTGACTTGGAAAAAAAATTGCAAGCCCCTCTCCCTTTCCCGCAAATGTTCACTCTCGTTAATGAAAAATCTTTCTTCTTTAAAAAGAACTTTTTATAATTTAGATTAATTTATAATTTTGGTCAGATATATATTATGTATACAAATGTAATATACAAAGTTCGTGTTTTTCTGGGACAAGCCTATACTCAAAGTCATTTCGTTACAGATACACTATATTGATTATAATACCTGTAATGACAATGTACGTTTTTATATAAAAAATGAAGTTATTAAATAATTTCGATATTTTGCCAATACCTGATGGTGTTCTTTATAAATTAAATGATGCTGGTAATAGGTGGGGGGTGGGGGTGTTAATTGAAGGTTAAATTTTAGCGATAAAATAGAATCATTTTTAATGGGTAGCTTAAATCGAATTTAATTTTTTTTTTTTGAAAAAGTGAAAAAAGTTTGTAAACTCAATCCTGCATATGCAATAATAACTGGTTATAAAAACTGGTAACTTTCATAACACATGTGTTAAAACTTCTCTTTTAAAATGTGTAGATTTTGACAATTATTTTGAGGAAACAGCAAATGAAGTGTTATGGACAAAAATTATCTATCACACATAGATATATATACTATTATTCATATTATTTTTATATTCCATTTAATTATATATGGATTTATACCGGGTTTTTTTTCGTGTGTATTAAACTATATACATGTATAAACATAACAAACAAGTAAACGAGTTTTATTTCATTTCCTGACCAAAATATTTAGAAGTCCCAAAACGTGTAAACCTCAACCCCAAATTTAATGGTCTGGGATACCTGTCATCGGTATTGCATGATTATATTATTGTTTATACATATGGCGGAGCAAGTATGTACGTTAATTAACAACCTTATATTACAAGAATAATTAAAAGAAAGAGCTGTTTTAATATTTTAAGTTTCTGATTTTTTAATTACCTCTCCATTTCTCGAAATCCCCCTTTTTGTCCTCCAGCAGCCTGGGTGGTGGCATCTTCGGAGTCATCTTCGCTAGCCAAGGGTTTCCGATCCGATACCTACTCTACAACCCTTGGCAGATTTGGCTGAAAATTTTAGAACTCGCGCAACCGATTTTGATTGGCTGCGTCCGAGTACGTTTTTACAATCAACGATTTTCCAATTGAAGTCTGTTAATGCAAAAGAAGAGTAATATTTACTTATATTACTAAAAAAAACAAGGGAATAATTAATTTGAAATTTTTTTCTTTTGATTATATATGTTTTAAGAATTATTGAAAGGACTGTTTTAATCAATTTAAGCTCAAATGTTACGGCTCTTGATAATTTTTATGTATTACTCTCTCCATTTTTCTACCACTTTTGAGGTGTGCCCACTTCCCACAGCTGTATGAGGTTGTTATCCCATCAGGCTGCATGGAGGTCGCCATATTGTTTCAAACGTCATATTGATTTACGTATGTTACAGCTATTTTCATTGGACAAATACTAAAGAGCTTCAAGGGACTTAACTCAATTACGGCGATAGGCGGCGCAATCAAAGTTCCCGTTTGATAGGCCTAAATCTGCCAAGGGTTGTAGAGTAGGTATCGGATCGGAAACCCTTGGCTAGCGAAGATGCTTCGGAGTATCCTCCGATATGAAAGTAAGACCAAATGCCACACCGCCTTTCTTCTCCGTCACTTCGTTTGTGACCATTGTTCGAAGAATTTTCTCGTAAACCTCTTTTTCCTCCTTCAACACACCTACTTTATTATTTTTGGCGAAACAGCTCTGAAAGATGCCCATGATCTTTTCAGAATTTTTTGTCTCTAACAACAAAAGGCTTTGATAATAGTCTCTATGACGTCACAATAATTGTTATTTGTGACGTCATAATCACTGAAATCATTGCATCAAAATGTTCTCTTCCTCTTATCGCCCTATTCAAGTTTATAAAATAAACTCGATAATCTTTGAAAGTTTCTAAATGTAGCAATTTTCGAGAAATGAAAAAAAAGAGTGAAGACAAAATGTCTTTTGGCATGAAAACGCTGACTGTTTTTGTCTACATGTAAATACTGAAATAATTGAAATTCATATGCACACCAATATTTATGGACCTCTTTCCCAATAATAATAGTTGTTTAACTTTACATTCTACCATGGGAACAGTATTATCATAACTGGTACAGGGGCGGATCCAGGAATTGAAGTTAGGGGGGGGGCGCAAGATTTAGGCAGGGGCTTTGGGGGCCTTAAGGCCCCCAGTGCATGGGTCCAGGGCAAAGCCCTGGTGGTGGGGGTCCAGGGGGCGAAGCCCCCGAAAGCTCATGAATGGATTCTAGAGGTTTGTAGGGTAAAAATGAGGCCTACCGAGTAGACATTTTAAACATTTTCTCGTCAAAACTGTTTTATGCTAACTTTGACAATTTTAGGGGGGGGGGGCGCCGGGTGCACCCCCCCCCCTTAAATCCGCCACTTTGGTATAATTGCGATGATATTATAATATTTTCCCTATACTGTGAATCATATCTTTAAATGTAGTGCGACTGATTTGGATGGTTGTTTCAGTTTCTAGGATTCTTGATCTCAAATCTGCCAGAATTCCATTAAAGAAAATTATGTATTTCATCAGTATATATGAGTTTACAAAGAGGTTTATATAGAGGACCTCAATGTAGGATACACCTTGTATGAGAATTGTGATTTTGAACATATCTAAGAACTTAAAAGTTACCATTACGGTCTGCTGAATGGTCTTCCTCTGTTCAAGAAAATGTTAAATAATTCTGGTATCTCAATAAATATACTCCGATACTTCTGCGCTTTTGTTAAAGAAAGAGAAAAGGGAACAGTTGACAGGCGAAATAATAAAGCTTATAGTCCTCTTCCTAAAAGAAACCAATGATTTAACAAAAGAAGCAAGACGTATCAAATTTCAACACTACCCTGAAATCGTCTTAGTTACGAGCTTCAGCATCAGTTGTTCAGATCAATGAGTTTAAAGACACTCTAAATTTAGATCAATTTATTCAGGACAAATGTTAACATATTTCTCCAGCCTCTCCATTTCTTTGTGAGCAGCTTCAATTTCTTTATGAATACGGGCTTCCTCTCTGTTCTGTTGGGCCCGATCCTGCTTTTCAGCCTGTGCCTTTTCTTGAGATTCTGAAAAGAAGAAACAGTAAATTTACCAACAAATTAAAAAAAAGGTTCAACAGATTTAATAAAGTAATTAATTCATTCTCCTAAGCATTACCCAAACCTAAATTTTCATGGATAGGTTTTATTTAAATACGGTACACGTCTTTATCTGGATCAAAGTTTTTTAACATGTAGTTTGTTTTACCAACGCTAAAACCCAATTTATTTTTTAATTTGAAAAAATATTGAAAATTTTACATATAAATTAATATTTCTGTTATGATGGAAACACACAGTTACCTTATTATTACATGAATAATTAAACGAATAGCTCTTTTAATATTTTAAGTATTTGATTTTAATTTACCTCTCCATTTCTCAAAATCCCCTTTTTTGTCCTCCAGCAGTCTTGGTGGTGGAACCTTTCGGGTTTCCTCCGAGAGGAATGTAAGACCAAACGCCACACCTCCTTTCTTTTCTGTCACCTCATTTGTGACCATTGTTCGCAGTACTTTCTCGTAAACTTCCTTTTCCTCCTTCAACACACCTACTTTGTTATTTTTGGCCAAACAGCTCTGAGAGATGCCCATCTTTTCTAAAAATTTGTTTGTCTCTAACAACAGAAACTTTTGATGATGCCTTATGACGTCACAATGACTGCGATGTCATAATAACCGAAAACATCGCATCAAATGATTCACTCCCTTTCATTATAAAGATTTTAACACAATACTGAAATTTTATAAAATCTTAAAAGTTAATTACTGCAGTAATTTTGGGGAAAAAATAACAAAGCTGTTACATATTATATTAGTATCTCCTCGCATCGGAGAAACCGAGCTGGACATTTAGTAACGCGCATGTGGATGTCTGTTTGTTTGCGGGTGTGTTACTTTGTCCTTATCCGAAACGGAAGTGACACAATTTGCATTGGAATCAATATCGATTGCTGTCCTCATTTATAGTTATGTTCTTTGTGGTGCCCTTGTTGATAAAATACTTAATTTAGATTTTTAATAACATTTATATTTCTACATAAATATAAATCTATCGACTATTATATTAATATTTATGATGAATGAAGTACGTATTTTTTGTTCAAAACCAGCTCCTTTTGTATCGCCGCAAGTATCCTTTTTCCTACAAATAAATTTAGTGAATTTTAACTTTAAAGATCAACATTCTATTCAGAATAAATACAATATTGGATATACATAATATGTTTAAAGTTATACACTCTCTGAATGTCATTTGCAAGGTTATATTCCTAAGGCTCATTGATTTTAACTTTATATGCTTTCTTTCTTGCTTTATTTATTTACTATTTATTTATTTATTTATTCATTATTTATTATTAATTTTTTTTATTTATTTATATATTTATCAGTGAGAGTATGCATACCAATTCAGCTGGGTTGCTTCTCCTCGTTGAACAATGCTGGTTCTTGATTTTTTTTTAAATTCAAAGATAACATGTTTATGAAACCATTTGTACGTCTTAAGGGATGGGCTACGGTGCTCCTTAACTAATATCATTGCCAAGACAACGCGGCTGATTTCCATGCAGTCTATAATATTGCTCTTTAGTGCTTTTCGGGTATTTTCAATGAAATTCTTCCATTATACCAAAGGTGTTTGACCCGGAGACTTTGTTTCTTAATACACTATCATCGGTGTCGCCGTATCCCTAATCAAAGGGTCTTAAAAGCTGCTACTGGGGCTTTGGAAGGAAGTGAATAAATGGACACTTAGCATTCCTCTCTGATTCTAATACCAACTGCAAACAAAGTTATCTTAAGAGTCAGTGATTGTTGCTGTAATCCGTAACAATAAGTCCGAATGATTGCAAAACTAGCCCTGATAACAAAAGGACTTGTCATTTACCTGCCGGATTGACATAAACATTTTATTGGACAAAGTCGTAGGACGACGAATGGGTGAGAGTTGGCCATATGTTCAAACTGTAGATAAACTCTGCCAAGTGTCAATCTTTTTCTATAATCAGACCAGCGATTGAGAACTCAGACTTGTATTGTTTTGGGAAACCAGCATTGTTTTTTTCGCAATGCATCACCATAACACTCATAGTAGCTGCTGTCAGCATGACTAAGCTCCACATCACAATGTACTTGGCTGTTTTGGCTTTAGTGACTGTCCAGTGCTTTCATATTTCCAGTGACCCTTTTGTACCCAACGCCTACCGTATAAACGATTTGCCGAACAAATCACAGGATGAAAATAAGACAATCCTGAAAATTAAGTTACAAAGACTTCTATATGGTCTAAAACAGGACGACGGTATGAAAATACCAAACGAACAATTTTTGGTTAACAAAAGATTTCAAGACGCAGAAAAAACGGAGAGGAAGCCTCCGCTAGCAACCGAACAGGAATCTCCCCCTGAAACGGATGAGGAATCCCTCTACGATGACTTGATTTTTCAATTGGTTTACAAAAGGTTTGGAAAATGTATTCACTTTCCTTTGTATTCTCCAAAACCTATTTATATGGTTAATAGATGTCCACACGATTCTACCGATGATCAAGCCAGAATGCTGTGTCATGGCCACCATCAAGACTTTGTAGAAGAACAGCATAAGTGTATTATAGACTTGCAGCACATTCCAGTTCAGGATTTACATGGAGTCGTGTACAGAAATGTCTACTGTTCTCGCTGTCATAGAGCAAGCAATGTAAGTACATGGACCGCTGACTTAACGTTTAATGATATACCTGTTCTGAAATTAATGGATGGCTTCAAAAATACCTCTATCAATATTCTGAAAAACGTGGATGAAATGGCGAGATGTTCAAAGAAAATTTTTCCCTACAACCAAAATGTTGTAAAACACTGTACAAATCCCACCAGTCATCGCAGCCATGACACTCGGGCCCGCAATGCTCCAATAAATCCTCAGCCAGGCTCAGAAAAAATGCCATTGTCATTTCAAATTCTGATAAATTTTGGAATAAATGGCGAAGGACACATTATATTCAGCACAGAAACGTCACATCCCGTTGAAACGATCTCTTGTCCACAGAACCAAGTGTTCTACAAGGGACATTGTCGTGAAGTAACATGCGATGAAGGCTACCATCTTGAAAATAACGTCTGTCAACCCGATCCTATATCTCTCAATTCAGAAGATTCTTTGTCACGGCTGCAAAACGCAAATGAGATGACGTCTCTGACATTCCGACTAAATGCTACTAAAGAGGAACTGAGTATCCTGGAACAAGACGGTGCAGAGGAAATGATTATCGAGGAGATTGCCTTTGTCTTGAATGTGAGCTCCAGTCGCATCAGAGACCTTACAATTTCTATTCGTAACGGTACGACACAGTCCAAAATGATAGAGATTGCTCATCCAAGACGATTCCAGAAAAACAGAGTTATGAAGAACAAAGACTTCTCTCCGGAAATATTGACCACAAAAACTGAAGATGGTTCGAAAAATGTGTCCTACGACAACCAACAAACGAATGAAACGACCAAAGAAAAATCTCCGGACGAATCTCTGTTCACAGTTGAATTCAAATTTGATCTTTTGGCAAGCGTAAAAAAGACAGGAAAATTTAGTTCTTCTTTATCCAGCGTGGTGGATAATATGAATCATTTGATTAAAACTGAAAGTTTTAAATTGGAATTAAACGGGTCTGACTTTAAAATAACTGAAATAAAACAACAACATCACAACATGTCGCTGCGTCTAATTAAGTGGTGCCACCATGGAACCAAAATCATGAAAAAGGGAAGTGAAGTGGATATGAAAAATTCAACAGACAGTCGGACCGGAAGAACAGTTCACGGCGTATTTGTGAATGACACAGGGAAATTCTATGGACCAGATATGTTTGATTTTTATATATACGTGTCGGGTGAATTCGGAAATATAAGCAACGTAACTATTAACGCTTTGGTTTTTCTCTGCGATACGCCTCGTATCCAAGACGGCGAGTGTGCAAAATTGACTTTGAACTCAACTTCGTACGAAAAATTGTACAACAATTCTGTTTTCTATGAAGGAGAAGTGTTTGATCAGGATAAATATGAGTATGTAGATGATATGCATGACAATGTAAGAATATGCATATATAGTCAAGGTGTTTCCTCGAATATGTTGAAAACATCCTGCGGAATAGAATTTAAGGAGATAATCGTGGCTGAAAGTTATCTTAGTTTCGTTTTGGGGATCATTTCAACCGTGATCACATTTCTTTCATTGATTACATATGTTATTTTCAAAGAAATGAGAAATTTGCCAGGAGTGAGCACAGCTAATTTAACATTCGCACTCTTTCTTGCCGAACTACTTTTTATTGTTTCTGGTGCGCCAAAGCCAGACTGGTTATGCCCAGTGATAGGCATGATGCTGCACTACCTATTTCTTGCGTCTTTCTTCTGGATGAATGTCATGTCGTATGACTTATATAAAACATTTGCCAACAAGTATATCCTCACAAGAGTGAGAAGCAAAGAGAAATACCTCCCACGCTATGCTCTATATGCGTGGGGATCGCCAGCTCTGATCGTGGCTGGCTGTGCAGTGGTTGACTACACAAACATCATACCCAATGTAAAAATTAAATATGGTGGCGGTTCTCTTTCCCTGTCCCCAAATGGTTTCGTTAATCATAATTTGGATGGCACCCTGGAAAACAATACATTGTCGCATCGGATAGAATCCACGGATGAAAATCTAGGCTGCTGGATACAGGAGCCAGTGGCAGCGCTTGTTGCCTTCGGTTCTCCGATGCTCCTTATTCTTTTCTCCAACTGCATCATGTTTGTGAAAACCATTTACTGCATTCGCAAAACTTTGAAACTTGCAAACATAAAAACGAGGCGGTCTTCGTTGAATCACGTAACCGGAAAATCTGACGTCAGACTTTATGTGCGCATGTCAACTATGATGGGTTTTACATGGATTTCCGGTCTGGCCTCCTCGATAGTGAGTGCTTTTGCAGATACACCAACATTTACAATTTGTACTGTGTTACATGTTATGAGCTTTTTGTTTATCATATTTAATTGTTCGCAGGGGCTTTTTATCTTTTTTGCATTCATTTGTAACCGAAGAGTGTGTAAATATTACAAAAGTATGCTCTCAAAATGCAAATCCAAGATTTCGGGAAAGACAGTGTTGAGCTCTTCTAGAATTTCAATCAGTACAATCACTTCATGGACATATACATTTGAAGTTGTTCAGATAACTGAAAAAGAAAAATGTCAGAAAGAAAACTGACGCGTTAAGATTGTAAATACTGTACATATGTAGATACATGTAAGTATTATGTAATATATTGAATTGCTTTATGTATATAGCAGGCAAAAATTAAAAGGTCTTATGATTTAGATTTTTTTTCCTGCTGTTATTCTATATTCGTTTATTTTGATTTTTATGCAGCTTCTTGATTTGAACAAATTACTATTTGTAATGGTTGCTGAATAAGTGTTATACTTGTACGTATGAATTGGTGGACCTTATGTCATCTTGCAGAAAATGAATCTTTTTTCCACATCAAGTAACAACTATTCATTTATAAATGCCTCCTTGAAAGTTTTAACTGTAAATTATAAATGAATATGATGGTGCCAAAATTTTGCTAAAAGGATACTGACATTTTTTAAATAATCGCTCAGTATATTACCTTTAACTGGTATGACTAGCAAGATGGGGAGTTAATGAGGAGCATGTGAATAAAACAATCAAATGGCAATTTAATAAGTTATTTCTTTTTTAATTTAACTTTTTTTTCAATTTTATATGTTGAAAATTGCAAACTACTGTGGCACGTGAATTTTAAGTTTGATTAATACGAAAAATGTGACTAAGTATGTCCACCAACAGTACACTGTATAGTGTATAGTAATCTGAAGAAATTTATTTAAAAATATACCAGAAATGTGGTAAAATATAGAAGTCTTTCATTTTTTGTTTCTATTGTAAAATAGTATTGGTCATCACAATGTTTTTGGATGATATTTCATGAAGTGTTTCCTATACTGTTTGTTATGTTTGCATTTCTATATTATATTACATTCCAAGACAAATAAATATTTGATGCTTTGTTTTTTTAAGTAATGTTCATTCTCTATAAAATTTATTCTTTTCTACTAAAAATTAATTTTAAAAAAAATATCATATGGTTTTTAAACTTAAGTTTTAGAATTTGCAACCATTTCCAAAATGTTGCTTTGGAAAAAAAATTCGCTGTGGTAGCAATAAAAAAGATAAATATTGCCATGGATATTGTGAATGAATTGAATTGGAATTGAATGAATAAACTGAAACCAAAAACCAAAGCGTACTTGAACAGGACCTGCTAGATTATCTTATCTGCGGTCAGTAACCCAGTTTTAGATCTGACACAGTTATCAAATCAGGATTTAAAATCTGTCATTCTCACACATTATGAAAACAAATATCCAAATCTTTCCAATTATTCAACTTAATTAATAATATTGAAATTCGTTCCACCAAGCCTATGCATAAGATTTCATCTTTTGTTTAAAGAAATTAATTCTGCGCTTTTCTGTCCACAACTTAAAATTATTTTTTCAAAAAATATTTTTCGAACACGAAAAGAAACTTTGTTTTTGAACTAGAAACATGGAAGGTTTATTTAATTTATTCGAAAAATAATCGAACCCATTGATTCATTTTGGAGTTTTTTTTTTTTAGAAATGATTCCGATAAGGCATTATATATTCCCCGTTATATAACATTCAAATAAATGCCTTTAACACATGTATATGAGAAATGGTTTTATGTCTTCTTTATTTTGATGTTTTTGATTAAATCATTTAGTTTGTTTTCTGGTAATAAATTGTTCATACTGTTTGCAGCTGAAATACTTGAGTTTGAAACTCTATAATTACATTTTTATTAAATTTCAAATCAAACTTTCAAAAGATTGACCAAAGATTAACAACAAAAAAATCTTTTAGATTTCAAAGGTTAACCAAAATACTTCTAGATTTTAAAGGTTAATCAACAAACCTCTAGATTTCAAACCAAATATCATAAAAAAAAACCTTCCGCATTTTAAATGCTAACCAATTTTTTTTTCTAAAGATTTCTTAGGTTAAAGATTAACCAAAAAATCGTCTAGATTTTAAAGGTTAACCCACAAATTTTCTAGATTTCAAACCAAATATTATCCAAAGACCTTCTACATTTCAAAGGCTAAGCAAATAGAAACCTTTAGATTTCAAATGTTAATTTAAATTTAACCAAAAAGTCTAGATTTCACAGGTTAATTAAAGATATACCCAAAAAACTTCTAGATTTCATAGGTTTAATAACCAAAAAAACTTCTGACATACTTCATAAACAACATGGAGATAAAACTATAGCTCCTAAAGGAATCTTTTGTCTCCAACGCTGTGAAAGATGAGCTTCATATGCAGCCGTTTCTCTTCTTGGAAATTGATAAAACCAATGAAATGCTCAATTTTAATACCTTTACAATGGGTATGTAAACAAAAGTACGTCTGGTTTGAGAGAGTAAAATTTTCAAGTATGTTATAAACAATTTCCTACAAAGAGAACTGTTGGTTATATTGATATACAGTTGAACTTCGGTATTTCGAACACTGATACTCGAATAATATGTCAAACTGATTCTGTAGTCCCTAGCGTTTTTATCCTGGATATCTCGAATATTTGGATTTCTTGGTCCCCTCAAGTTCGAGAAAACAAGGTTTGACTGTACAAGTTTATGAAAAATGTACCTATCTAGTCTCTACATGCGACTGCACGAAGCATAATCTGTTTTGCTATTTAAAAACGTTGAAGCCAATTTATAGATATTTAAAAAAGTGAATTATGTTTTACAAATTTTTGAATTGCAATATTTTAGAGGAAAAAAATATGTGCAATACATTTTGTATATGTCGGAAGAGTTTTGCTAATACATGTTCAGTCATTCGATGATATTGGGGGGAAAAGAAAACTACTTTTGTTGACCACGGGTACTTATGGACAGGACCCCCCCCCCCCCCCCCCCCCCATATTCAACCCCGGGGCTTATTGGACATTTTTTTTTCACAAATTATATTCATTACACTTATTCATCATGTGTACAAAAAAAAAAAATAGTCAAAACCCCAAAATAATCTCTCTTACAATGTATAGTGGGGTATTTTTTGTGGAGCGATTATTTTGGGGTTTTGGCGATCTTTACTTATTGTACACATGATGAATAAGTGTAATAAATATAACTTGTGAAAAAAAATGTCCAATAAGCCCCGGGGTTGAATATCGGGGGTGAGGGGTGGTAGGGGGTCCTGTCCACAAGTACCTGTGTTGTTGACCTCTTATTTGTCTCAAAATGGTTTGATACTTCCAAACCAATAATGTCATGATTCGTGAAACGTCTTTTTATCTTCATCTTAGATGTTAAAAATGTGATGCCTAGTCGGTGCTTTAATTTACTAACATCAGTAATATTTTGTAATAATGAATTTTTAAAATTTATGCGCCTGTTTCACAAAATAATATATCCTTTTACATAAGGTTTCGTTAGTTATCAATGATGGCATTAATAATATGCATTTTGTTCTTGTCATTCTTCAGAACATTCCCTATTCATAGAAATGGCAACGGTTAACCGGTTAGCCGATAAAATCGTTACCTCGGTAATCGATATAAACAAATATAAAATATATAATAATATGCATAATATTTAATCAAAATGACGTATTAAAATGACTGACTACTCTTTTTATGTTACACAGCAAATAATCCCTAAAGTTACAATGAATTAAGAAGGATACAAGAGAAAAATATTCTATAAATAGTGTCAAGAATTCTACAGGCAATCTGTGACGTCATCCTAAATAGCCCCAGAGAATTCCAATTAGAATAACTATTAAAACCGCCAGGCAAATCATGATCATGATCTTCTTCTGCAAAGAAAAGAAGAAAAAACACTAATCAATGGTAGATAAGTCCCAGACACCCTAAAAGAATGCACAGAATCGTATCTTTAGATTACCTGGTTTTTACTCAACGCAAACAAGATGTGTTTGTCAAACAGTTATGCCCCCGTATGGAAACAGCGAAGTTTTTTCTCAAATGCAGATCAAATATGTTGGTACCCAAAGTAAGGCCTTCTCACAAGAAATACAACCGTGAAATATGAAAGCCCTAGCAAAAGTTACAGCCAAGGTTAAAGTTTTTTAAAGGTAGGTCAAACTCCAAGGTCAAGGAGCAAAAATTGTTGGTTTTTAAAGAAAGGTCTTGTCACAAGGATTACATCTGTGAAGTACGTATGAAAGCCCTATCCCTAACCGTTAAAACGTTATGGACAAGGTTAAAACTTTTAAAAAGTAGGTCAAACTCCAAGGTCAAAGTCAAAGGGTCAAAGTTCTTTGTATCCAATGAAAAATCTTGTCAAAGGGATGAAATATGTAAAGTATGAAAGCCCCAGCCCTAACTCTTCAAAAGTTATCGTCAAGGTTTGTTTTTAAAAAGTACTCAGTAGGTCAAACTCCAAGGTCCAGGTCAAAGTTCTTGGTATTCAATGAAAGGTCTTTTCATTAGAATTACATATGTATAGTATGAAAGCCCTATCCTTTACCATTCAAAAAGTTATGGCCGATGTTAAAGTTTTTTTTAAAGTACATAAATCTCCAAGGTCAAAAGGTAAGTTCTTGGTATCCAATAAAATGTTTTGTCATAAAGAATATATGTGAAATATGAAAGTCCTAGTATTTAATTTACCGTTCAAAAGTTATGGCCAAGGTAAAAATTAGGAATTTTTGTGTGAAAGTGTGTCAAACTAAAGGTCAAAAGGTCAACTTTGGTGGTACCCAAAGAAAGTTCTTTTCATAAGGTAAACACGTGAGACGAAAAATCATAGCTCCACTAAATCAAAAGTTATGGGCAAGGTTTAAGTTTTTGCTGACAGACAGGCAGACAGACGGACGGACAGACAAGTCAAAAGTATATACTTTAACATGTATATAATATATAAAGATTTGAAAGAAATACAGAGCAGAGATATACAGTAACTGTATATAGTAAGTATAGAACGAAGTCTAAATGGCTGCATTCGATGGAATAAAGGTTCAAAGATATACATGTAGATGCATGGTATAAAAACCCACTCTCCTCTATTTTTCGAGAAATGATAAGCTTCGGGGGTATATAGTTTTTGTCGTGTCCGTCTGTCTGTCTGTTTGTCTGTTTTTCCGCAAAAACTTTAACCTTGCAATAACTTTTGACTCGGTGGGGCTATGACTTTCATATTTCACAGGTGTATTTCTTGTGACAAGACCTTTCTTTGGGTACCACCAAATTTGACCTCTTGGCCTTGGAGTTTGACACACAAATTCCAAAATTTAACCTTGGCCATAAGTTATGAACGGTAAGGGCGCTAAGTCTTTCAAACTTCGTTTATGTTATTCTTGTGACAAGACCTTTCATTGGATACCAGCAGCTTTGACCCTTTGACCTTGGAGATTGACCAACTTTTAAAAAACTTGAACTTTGGCCATAATTTTGAAGGGTAAGGGCTAGAGCTATCATTTTTTCACAAATGTAATGCTTGTGACAAGGCCTTTCATTAGATATCAACAATTTTGAACGGTAAGGGCTTTGGCTTGCATGCTTCACATACGTAATCCTTGTGAAAAGACTTTTCCTTGGATACCAACAACCTTGACCCTTTGACCTTGGAGTCTGGCCTACTTTTAAAAAACTAATCTTGGCAATAACTTTTGAACAGTTAGGACTAAGGCTTTAGTACTCTTTGTGACAAGGCCTTTCTTTAGAAACAACAACCCTTCACCTTTGACCTTGAACCCAGAGTTTGACCTACCTTTGAAAGAACGTTGACCTTGGCCATAACTTTTAAACAGGTGGTGCTAGGGTTTTATATTTGTATTTCTTGTGAGAAAGCCCTACTTTAAGTTTAAACATGTTTGAATTTGCATTTGAGAAAATTTAACCTTCGCTATGTTGCTATACGGGGGCATCAGTGTTTCACAAACACATCTTGTATTTATTTACTAATATTTTTCATTCTTTATTTATGTAAGGGTACACCATGATCAATGCATGATA